TTCGGCCGGGGCTGGGTTTTAACCCACCACCTCCGGCCTATGGGGCCGATTCCTTACTCCTTTGAGCCACACATGCCACCCCTAATTTTTCTATTTTTCATAAACATGGGGTCTAGCTGTTTCTTGCTCTGGCTGGTCTTAAACTCCTGAGCTCAAGCAGTCTTCCCACCTTGGCCTCCCAGAGTGCTAGGATTAGAGAGAGGCCTTGAGCCACCATGCCTGCCACAAAAGGACCTTTTTTAGGTGGAGCCAGCAGTTCTGTTAACTCAAATTGAATCAGAGTAAAGAATTCTCAGAATATTGGGGCTTGGCACCTGTGGCTCAAGTGGCTAAGGCACCAGCCACATACACCTAAGGTGGTGGGTTCAAATCCAGCCTGGGCCTGCCAAACAAGAATGACAGCTGCAAATAAAATAAAAAAAAGCCAGGTGTTGTGGCAGGCGCCTGTAGTCCCAGCTACTTGGGAGGCAGAGGCAGGAGACCCGCTTGAGCCCAGGAGTTTGGAGGTTGCTGTGAGCTGTGATGCCACCACACTCTACCCAGGGCAACAGCTTGAGGCTCTGTCTAAAAAAAAAAAAAAGAATATTGGCTGTAGACACGTATAAAAGTTCCAGATGATCCATGCAAAGACAGTTAAAGAGGCATCACCCTGTGGTAATCTTCATAGTCCTGGCCTGCCAGGCATGGAAGAAAAATTGTGTACTGATCTGCTAGTCCAACAGATTTTTCCATTGCCATCCAAGAGCATCATAATCCCTTCATTAAATTCAGAGACCACGGCCTCAGTGAACAAGAGACAGGAATGTTTACCCCATATTCCTCAGTCAGCTTTTCCTGACCAGGCCTCCTCCTTTCAATGTCTATTGAAACTTTGAGTTTTCTCTCATAGTGGATTTTCATTTTCTCTCAAATGATGAGAGGACACCCCTTCCTAGGCAGAATTTCTGTGTATAGTTAAAATCTAAATGTTGTCTTCCACCATCTCATTTGTTAAAATCATTCCCCACATACCGATTATTTCCTTCTGGGTTAATTTAGAAATCCACCACTGATTAACAAGCAATGTTATTTATCTAACCCCACTGCATTTTCAATGCTGTGTCACTGTTGTGTCGATTCTTTTTTTTTTTTTAATTAAATGATAGCTATGTACATTAACGCAGTCACAGGGCACAGTGTGTTGTTTTCATATGCAATTTGAAATATTTTCATCAAACTGGTTAACATAGCCTTTATGTCATTTTCTTATTGTGTTAAGACATTTATATTCTACTCTTAGAAAGATTCACTTGTACCCTTGTAAGATAAACCATAGAAGTGATCCCTCCAATCACCCTCCACTCCCCCCCCCCCCCCCAGTTGTATCAATTTTTTTTTTTTTTTTTTTGAGACAGAGCCTCAAGCTATCGCCCTAGGTAGAGTGCCGTGGCATCACAGCTCACAGCAACCTCCAACTCCTGGGCTCAAGCGAGTCTCCTGCCTCCGCCTCCCAAGTAGCTGGGACCACAGGCACCCACCACAATGCCCAGCAATTTTTTGGTTGCAGCTATCGTTGTTTGGAGGGCCCGGGCTGGATTCGAACCCACCAACTTAGGTGTATGGGGCTGGCGCCTTAACCACTTGAGCCACAGACGCCGAGCCTAGGCTGGCATTTTTCTGATCCCGATTGTGTTACTTTCATTTAATAATGAGGCTATCATTTGTCCCATTCACAAGTGATTAGGTCAAACAAGATCCAGGAGAACTTGATGTAGCTCTGTGAGCTGAGCTCTCTTCACTGGGGGCCACAGGTGGCTGCTAACTGCTTTCCCTTGAAATACAACTCTCAGCAGCCTGGTGGTTCAGTTATCACAAAACCAATCTCATCAGTTCTGCTCAAGTGCCTGATAAATCTTCCACATTGTCAATTATACATATGTGGAGGGTCATAACTGTAACTAAGCATTATGTGCAGTTGCTCTCTGGTCCCCAAAGTTCTCATTTGTTTTGGAATCCTACAAATTATGATGCTTTTTATGATGCTGCTTTTTTTTTTTTTTTTTTGAGACAAAGCCTCAAGCTGTCCCCCTGGGTAGAGTACTGTGACATCACAGCTCACAGCAACCTCCAACTCCTGGGCTTAAGCGAGTCTCCTGCCTCAGCCTCCCAATTAGCTGGGACCACAGGCGCCCACCACAATGCCCAGCTGTTTTTGGTTGTAGTTGTAATTGTGTGGCAGGCCTGGGCTGGATTTGAACCTCTCAGCTCCAGTGTATGTGGCTGGCACACTGGCCACTGAGCTATGATCCTTTTGATAGAATTTTATAGCTGCTGGTTTTCTCAAAATTTGTGTGTCAAACAACCTTCACTATTATGTGATCCAGATTCCCTACTGGGAGAATATAGTACTTGTGACCACCATTTTTTTGTTGTTGCAGTTGTCATTGTTTTTAGCAGGCCTGGGCCAGGAACCCGCCTCCTTCAGTGTATGTGGTCAGCACCCTAACCACGGAGCTACTGGCACTGACCCTGTGACCACCATTTTTTATATGCTTGGGAAGAGCCCATCTGTCTTTCTAGATGACCAGCGCAGTGCCTTTGAGGGGAGCCTCTCATCTACGTTTATAGCCCAGAACCTGAGAGGAATGAGAAAGGAATTTTCCATTTACCACATATGTATATTTTGTTGCTTCCCCATGGCCACAGGGGATCTGTCCGTGGAATACCCAGGAAAGCAGCCTTGGTTAGTCAGTCCATTACCAGAAATTGTAGATTAATGGTCCATGAGCCAATCACGACTTGCAAACATATTTTGTTTGGAACTTTCTTTGTTGTTAAATTGTGAATTTTATTTACCAAGATGAGGATTCACATAATATGAAGTATATTTCCTTGAAAACTAGCACATTCCAATATAAAACAAAGCTATAAAACCTATAGAAGGTCACAGTGGGGAAAATCTTTGGAACATTGGGCATGGTGAACATTCTTAAATGTGGCACCAAGGAAAGCACAGTCCAAAAGGAAATAAGTGCCCAGTTATACGTCATCAAAATTAATAATTTTTGCTTTGTGAAAGATAGAAGAACAGGTAAGACACACAGGAGAAAATATTTACGAACCATGTCCTAACAAAGTCTTCCTATCTGATAGAATATGTAAAGAACTCTCACAGAGCAGGAAAAAAATCAAAATCCAATTAGACATGGGAAAGCATAAAGGAACATTTTTTTTTTTT